ATCATCACATTTTAATGACACTTGGTACATAGATCTTCTAGGATTATGCAGACACCTGATTAGTTTTAATTGGATATAAATTATCTAATTTGCATAATGTTTCACTGATATATAAAGAACCACAAATTGGATTTTAATGAAACTTTTAAAGAGAACTATGCAGAAACCCAATTAGTTTTTGGTAAATATTTATGCTTATTAATCACCTAATTAACATAATTAATTAACACCGATATCTCAATTACTGATCATCACATTTGAATAAAATTTGGTACATAAATGCTCTAGGACAATAGACATGTCTGATTAATTTTGATTAATATTAATTCTCTAATTAGCATAATAATTCATAATTTTTTTGTTCTGTTCTGTTCATAATAGTTACCTGATTTACATAATTAGTTTTCAGCTTTTCCATCAATATCTCATGTACAAGTAATTTTGAATTAATTTTTAATGTGTCTTCAATACTCTCAGCACACGGGAGTTCTTTCTAAGCTTTCTTTGATTATGTAATTTACGTACGGCAAAAATTTAAATCACCCCCTCTAGCGGCGAAATTTAAAGTGAATTCTACTTCTCCATTGTTCCATGTTTCATGTTAGTGAGTATATTTATGATATATTTATTATAGACTAAACACGTTGTTTTTGTATTTCGATGAATAAACATCCCGAATATGTATCGTATGTGCACAATTACTTCTCATACTGCTACTAATTAAATGGTCCTCTCTGACCGAGAAGCCATGGCACAAGTGTGGTATGCATGAAGTGAACGTGTTGTCCTGGCCGCGTAGTGCTGCGTGATGACTGCGACGCTGCGTGACGGTTACGACGCCGCGGGACGTCCGTGGCGCTGCGTGACGACTACGATGCTGCGGGACGTCTGTGGTGCTGCGTGACGACTACGACATTGCGGGACGTCTGTAACGCTGCATGATGACTACGACGCTGCGTGACGACTACGACGCTGCGTGGGGTCTGTGGTGCTGCGTGACGACTACGACGCTGCGGGACGTATGTGGTGCTGCGTTACGACTACGACGCTGCTGGACGTATGTGGTGCTGCGTGGCGACTACGACGCTGCACGTATGTGGCGCTGCGTGACGACTACGACGCTGCGTGAGGTCTGTGGTGCTTCGTGACGACTACGACGCTGCGGGACGTCTGTGGCCCTGCGTGATAACTACGACGCTGCGGGACGTCTGTGGCGCTGCGTGACGACTACAACGTTGCGGGACGTCTGTGACGCTGTGTGACGATTACAACGCTGCGAGGCGTCTGTGGCGCTGCGTGACGATTACGACGCTGCGTGAGGTATGTGGCGCTGCGTGACGACTACGACGCTGTTGGACGTGTGTGGTGCTGCGTGACGACTACGACGCTGCTAAACGTATGTGGGGCTGTGTGATGACTACGACGCTGCGGGATCTCTGTGGCGCTGCATGACGCTGTGGCGCTTCGTGACGACTACGACGCTGCACGTATGTGGCGCTGTGTGACGACTACGACGCTGCGTGAGGTCTGTGGTGCTTCGTAACGACTACGACGCTGCGGGACGTCTGTGGCACTGCGTGAAGAATACGACGCTGCAGAACGTCTGTGGCACCACATGATGACTACGACGCTGCAGGACGTATGTGGCGCTGCATGATGAATACGACGCTGCGGGATCTCTGTGGCGCTGCATGACGTCTGTGGCGCTGCGTGACGACTACAACGCTGCATGTATGTGGCGCTGTGTGACGACTACGACGCTGCGTGAGGTCTGTGATGCTTCGTAACGACTACGACGCTGCGGGGCATCTGTGGCACTGCGTGACGAATACGACGCTGCGGGACGTCTGTGGCACTGCCTAACGACTACGACGCTGCGAAACGTATGTGGCGCTGCGTGATGACTACGACGCTGCGGAATCTTTGTGGCACTGCGTGACGTCTGTGGCGCTGTGTGACGTCTGTGGCGCTGTGTTATGTCCGTGGCGCTGTGTGACGACTGACGACTGTGGTGATGCGTGACAACTACACAGTTTGTACAATAAGTCCCACTCTGGATTGCTAGTTTTATTCCATTGCATTTTAAACATTGGGGAAGACGTGTGCATTTTATATCTGATACATCAACCTTGGCTGTGTATGTGTTTAACATGGGCACAACTCAAGTATTTAATAAAAAAAATAAAAAAATTCTTAGATCATTACAACTTACATTAGCGTCAGCTGCAATACTGCAACGGTATACCGATTTTATTAGTCCCCGATCGGACTTATGGACTGACCTTTGTACGTATGTGCGTCTGTGTGCTCAGACCTATATTTTAGCTATGCCTGGACCAATCACAATCAAACTTCACACATGCATCATACATAATATTATACATATGCACATCAATTTGTTTTACGGTCATTTTTGAGCTAAAAAACCATGATAAAATCAAGCATTTATGGATGGATTTTGTTCAAACTTGGTACATACGTTGGACATTATGGGCCATTTTATTTTTCAGATCGGATTTAAAATGGCCGACTGGCGGCCATTTTTGTTTTAATGAGTGCTGTTCTAGTGCCATGCTTTGACTGATTATGATCAAATTTTATATATTCATTATACATGACATAGATATATTTGTTTGACTATCTGATTCAAAATGGCCAGATGGCAGCCATCTTTGTTGCTAAAAAATTATCAAAAATCAAGCATTTCTGGCATTCCAGAACTGGATCTTGGCGTTTATGGATATATATTACATACATTAGAAATTATGGAGGGGGACTGATGCACGTCATTTTATGACGCTGAATGGCGGCCATTTTATTTTAATGAATGCGCTTCCAGAGCCATATCTTTGATATGCTTTGACTGATTATTTTAATGTTAAAAAATCATCCTAATCAAGCATCATCTTCTGGATTCATTCTTCTGACATGTTTATGTTCCAACTATATTACTATAAACAAAACTATATATCTTAAATTTGATTTAAAATTTTTGACTGTGCCATGCATGTTTTTTTTTTTTTTTTTTTTATCGCCGGTAAGATTCGCCCGTCATGGGCCTAACTTTAGGTCGGCACAGAACGTTAGCAAAGCAACTAGTAACAGCGATGCATCGTATAGAGTCATGGCACTGCGGTGATTATTAAAATTGGTATTAAAATGTTATATTGAGCCTAGATGAGGGGACTCGTCACGGTGTGTACCACAATGTGAAACAAAGGATGATACGCGTAAACAGCAGTACGAACATTGAAAAATATCCTTGGCAGGTCACGTGTTCTATATATCGTACACGCACGGCCACGTGTTAGACGTATGTATTCTAAAACTCCGAGTCTGAGCTAGACGCAAAACCAATACATGTAAGAGTTCGAGTCAAAACATGTCACCACAGAACTGCGTGTAGAACTACTTTTTCGTTTTTGCAATGCTGCTACTGACTTTTTTCAGCTAACTAGAAGAAAAAAAAATACAATTCTTTTATTTATTTTTTTTATTTTCTAGTATTGTACTAGACTGACCCAGGTACTTTTGCATACCGCTCGTCTTATAAGCCGAGCCCACAAGCAGCAAAGCATTTTTTATAATACAAAAATGTGTATTGTCTACTCCATTCATTAATTGTATCATTACTTATGCTGGTACAAACATCTGATGTCAGCATCGTAACTATTAACCACCTTCAAAACATAAAAATTATTAATAATTACATTTTTTTATATGATATATTTTCTTGTAACACCGAGCTGCCTATGTGGGGTCGTAAATATGAATTTGAAGCCGTTCGCGGGCAATTGAGCTAGGAATAAAAGCGAACGAAATTTTGTTGATTTAGAAACAAATACTTTTAGACCTTTTCTACTTAGTACGAAATATTTTTTTAAAGAAAAACTGTCTGAAAACATGCAAAAACGGATTTTTTTTAACTATTTCCTTATGATTTTTTTCCATAAAAAGTATATAGTATTTGTTAGAGTTTCCCAATAAGCAGTACAACCATTAATATTAATCACGTATGATTTTTCACCATTATAAAAGATATAATATGACTTAACTTGTTTACCACTGGAACTATTAAAATTGCTCAATAATTGATATTTTTAGTACGAAAAGTAGTTCGGCGGCCAGACCTTTTTATCAACATTCTGTGAACACAACATCATACTAATAAAGAAATATATAATAAATGTCTGGGAAATCGGGCGATAATTTTATACACCGTGACTAGACGTAAAAATGTTTAAACACTGTTAAAAAAGGTTGGGACTGATACAAATTGTGTTAATAGTAATAAGCTACCTTAATGTAGACACTTTTGTCCAAAACACTTAGTTGCCAAATAACTTTAAGGATATTTCTAACCGTACCTATATTTACGACAGCTTCCAGTCGGAAAATCAATTACACCGATCTTCCCCGCACCAAATACGAAATAATCAACAATATAGGACTTCAAGATTAAATTACATAATATCCAATTATACTGTAGATTAAACAGCGCAGCTTAAAAACGCTGACAAAATAGGACATAATTGATATCACATTACTGTAAGCGAATACATACACTTGAACCGTAGTCCCTTTTTCATAACTTACTCCAATATTTCGCACCGAACACGTAACACGACGCGTTAAAAAGACGTCAACAAAGTGTCGATCTACCTTAAATTTTGTCCCTTCAAATTTTATTCCACTCACCCCCGCCGTTGCGTCTGCTGTTCCAATCAGCATTATAGTTACACGGGTCAAGAGTAGGCGCGGTGCCGGGAGAGAATTGAATACAATTTTAGAGGGTGAAAAACAGTTTCGCGGTTCGCTCTCTCCCTGGTGTATCCTTTGGTACTGAATTTCACAGATTGTAAAAGCGGGTGCGTGAAATGTAAATAGAATGCTTAGGTGTGTGTCCGGTCATTTCAAATACTTTTTGTTTTAATTGTTTTTGTGCAAGGCGATATTTCCGACATTGTCACTGTTGTCTCTTTTGAATTTTCTTTGTAAGTGCAAATTACTTTGTTAGTGTTGAAACATTGGGACTACACGGTTCAAATACTTCATGGCCCCTCCTCCAGCCCCCCCCCCCACACAGGGGCGTCGATCCATTCTGAAAAGTGAGGGGGGGCACTTTTGTGTCCGACACCACTATGTTCCGAAACCCCTATGTTCCGACACACAGTATACTTATGTCAAACTTAATCTGACTAGCAGTGCGTGACCTTTTACTACCTTGATATAACCAGGATGTCTTGTGTGTTAATACTGGAAATCCAACTGTAGTGTAGTCCGGCCATGATGCTCGAAAGTTCGTGAAGGCGGGATCTTGCATAATGTTATCGGATAATTATCAGAGAATTGTCAAACAATGTTGCCCATTGTATCATTATACTTCGACAATTATTTGACAATATCCGTGTCTGTTGGGTGTGGTTCCAACCTTAAATCCTCCGATTGCCTAACTATCGAAGTTTTAGATCGATAATTATCGGAGAATTATTTTACCTTTTTAATGAAAGTCGCGGAATTGCAAGGATGTCGTTTACATCCGGTAGAACCTTTCCAAGTTTATCTACATATTAATTAAAATCATTTATTTATTATGCGAGAGATGAATAGGCACTGCATTTAACATTCCGTAGTGTTTGCATAAGTTTTTGAGATTGCCAAAAAATACAAAGGTTTCACACTATCTCTTTCCATTCCTATATTGTGTGTTTTCGACCAACATTCCTTGTTTACCTCCACACGTTATACGTTTTCCTATCAATCTAAGACATTGATAGGTCTCAGAGAATTCCATGTTTAAAAAAATTAAACCACCACCCAGCTGTAGACCCTGTCTAATATCGAGAATTATCAGATATTTATCCGATAATTCAAATGTACAATAGGCCGGCTTCCTCTAATGCGAGGATATTGCACAAGTTTATACTACCTGCAAATTTGAAGCATAATTCATCGTTCAAGGTTAAGGTTCATATTAGACAGATTTCCTTGAGGAAGTCAGAAAGCACTATTCTATTCTATTCTTCGTTGTTCCATTGCATTGTTCCGATATTCCTCGTTATTCTGAAAATATTCCCATATGTTACACTCAT